GCAATGGTTTTCGAGAAGTCGGAAAAGGAACGTCAACTGGGTATTTTGGAAGGTTGGTTTAGCGCTGAAGACCTTCACAAGCGTTTTGGACGCTACCAATGGCGCCATATGATTCGTTTTGCGACTTGGCAAGAGAATCACGCGGCTTTCAGGTGCATCGACAATGCCAAGTCTAGCGAGCACAACTTGTGCACTGCTGTGGAGGAGCGAATACACACCACATCTGTTGACATGGGCTTAGCCATCTGCCAGCGGTTCCGCAGGTTGCTTGATATGCCCTTGAAAGGGCGCCTCTCACTCCAGTCGCCCACGAAAGACATGAAACGAGCCTATCGACAAATTCCTGCGCGAGAAGAAGACCTTCGCTTTTCTGTCATCTCTCTTTGGCACCCTTGCCTCAAGAAATGGGTCTTCGGTGTGTTGCATGGGCTTGCACTCGGTTTGCTAGCCGCTGTTTTGCAGTTTAACCGGTATCCTGCAGCGTTGGTAGCTGTGGCCAGGCGGTGGCTGGCAATTGCAATCATCAACTTCTTTGATGATTTCAAAATCACCGAGCCCTCGTTTGCTGCAGGATCAGGAGGCCTCTATTTCGACAAGCTTGTGTCTGAACTTGGATGGTTGTTTGACGTTGACAAGGACAAACCATTCCGGTGGGTTGCGGCCTTTTTGGGGGGCCTCGAAACCTACTTGCCTGATTGCGTGAAGCTGCAACCCACTCCCCAGCGTGAAGAAGTTGTCATTGGCATGCTTCGCCAGGCAATTTCTGAGCAGAAGCTCAAGCCTAGGGATGCGCTGAGGCTGTCAGGCAAACTTATCCACTTGGCATTTTTCCTTACTGGTCGAGTTGGCCGTGGACAGACACATGCACTGGAAGCTCACGGACTTGGGGTCTCTGCATCTCTTCCACGTAGTGTGCTACGATGCTTGCAATTCCACTTGGCGCTCCTGGAGTTGAAGCCCTATCGGCAAGTGTCTCTGATTCCGAATGACCTTCCCCAGCGTTATATTTACACAGACGCCTCATGCGAGTCTTGTCCGCCACTGCGCTTGCCAGTTGTTCAGGTTGCCTGGATTGTGTTGGGCACAGTCAATGGGGTTGCAGAAGCTGGATTTACAGTGCTACCTGATGCAGTGATTCAGTCGTTTGAAGAGCGCAGTACGTATATTGCGCAAGGGGAAGCCTTTGGCCCCCTGCTTGGTGTCCATTTTCATTCTCAGGTTCTAGGCCGCTCCCACAATATCTTTTTCATTGACAATTTGGGCGTGTTGTCAGCTCTAGTGGTTGGCCGCGCGCGTGTCGCAGACTTCGGCACAATCATCCATGCGTTTCATCTGAGCCTGGCCCATCTGGGGTCCACAGCATGGTTTGAGCATGTCGAATCCGGCGCCAACCCTTCAGACGGAGGGTCTCGTGCGGGCGCTGCTTGCCCAGTGGCGAAACGATTGAACGTGGTGTTGCTCGAGCACCAATTTCCACCGTGGCCTGGGAATGTCCTCCACGCTAGCCCGCAGGATTGGCTTGCTTTCCTGAACTCCGCCTCGTGATGAACCACTGGCGGCCCATCCAGCTCACAGTATCAACATGCTGTGTCCTATGTGCGCTTTGCTGGACTTTGGAGAGCTCCGCTGTCCATATTCTAGGGCACGGTCGCCACAGAGGCGTATGTTTGGGAGCTGCAGCAGCTTCGGTTGCATGTTGTATGCTTCGAATCCCAGAACTGCTGACAGGTTCCCGCACCATTGGAAAACAGCTCACCGGGGCTCACCATGAGGGTCAGAGATTTCATATTCAGTATCTCGATGGCACGCAACGGACGGGCAAGGGACACGCACGTGATCTGCAAGTGACGCGCCAAAGCCCTTGTTCAGTGCTTTCTTCCATAAAGGAGGCCGTTGACCAGTTCCCTTTGGCCTTTCGTAGGGGCGGTGGCTCTTTCGCAGGCATTCGTGGTTTGCAGCGCGCAGCCTCGGGCGTGGCATTTTTCAGGGGCCCATAAAGGGTGGTCCGAAGGGATGTTGCGTGGTGCTTGGAGGAGGTTGGGTGCTAGGAAGTGTCAGTTCTTGGTTTTACATGTAACAATCTGCCTTGGCTGGTTCGTGCTGTTGGGCCGGCGGGTCACGTAGGAATCCTTCCCATCGAGACCGAGGACAGCAAGCAAACCATGCTGTTGACTCAGGCGGCCAGTGGTGCTGCGAGACCTTATGCTGAGGTTGAGCATTAGGGAGCCGAACAGAGACCGCAGCAGCGCAAGCCTGACAACCTCAGGTTCAGGAGGACATGGAGGTGGTCTGGGCCTGAAGCGCGTCCACCCAGTCAAGCTCAGACTGCCCCTGCTGCGGGCGACGCTAAGGCACCTCTGCAAGGGTCTCCTCGTAGGCCTCGGAGCAGTCGTAGGAGGCCTTCACTGGAGAAACAAACTCTGCCTGATGATAAGGGTCACATGCTTGAGTGTGGTGGAGAGGGCCGTTGCGCTTACAACGTAATCGCTGCAGGATGTGCTTCAGAGTGAAAGGCAAGTGGCAGGAGATCAAATTTTTAAACTTTTGCCTAAAGGGCGCACTGCGCGCTACGATCTGTAATGCCATCTTAAGTGGCATTAGGGAGAACACAGACAATTTTTCGTGAGGGACGACAGAGCTACGGAAGCGCAAGAGAACGGGGAGGCGCCAGCGACTTGGAAGGCACCTGGAAGCCACCACCCGGGACCAGATAGAGCTTCCCTTGACGGGAATCCTCCGGTACGGTTCGGGCCAGTTAGCAAGGATCCTCTCGTTCTTGCTTACAAGGACAAGCACTATCAGCTCATTTGGCTTAAGGAAGGTCAGTCTTCGCCTGACGCTTGCGCGCACGGCTCCCGTCCAAGCCACTGTACCTCTATCCCGCGGGAGGGGTGCCCTTCCTCCCCCCCTTCCGCGGGTTCTAGGCAGGTCTGAAAAACCCTCGGCCCGGTCCGGCAATTTGGAGAAGTCGTCCTCTTACAGTAAGGTGGCTAAAGCGGGTTTGCGCTGACGACCTGGTGGCACAACCTCAGGAACAGAGTAGCTCCAGCTGGGAGAGACCTGGGGAAACCGCTTCTGCGCAAGAGGGAAACCACAGTCTTGCTGAACTGAACGGCGTCCACCTGGGACACCTGCGTCTCAATGGCGCCCGGCAAAATACGCCTAAGGAGGCTAGTTCTTTCACTCGTTTTGATTCGGTTCGTAGTCAGGCCGCTGTCCTTTCTGAAGAGGAAACCGAGCACACTGAGGATGTACTTGGCTTTGACCCGGATAAAGGGCGGAAAGTTACTTAGCAGCAGGAGCCGTCTTGGGTGTGTCCCATCTCTGGGTATACGCTTAGGGTTCCGGCAGGCCCTCGCGCACGCGAACGCTTGCGGGAGCAACAAGGACAACCATCTTGTAAACCACGCTGCGGAGGAGAGAGCAACTGTCCCTCGGCTTAACCAAGGTCAGGACCGCATTGAGCCCATGGACACGCTCCCTGCGCAACTTGCTGAGTGGCGTTGTTGGCTTTGTCAAAAGGCGCTTCCGGCTCAGTCTAGCCGATGTGCTTAAGAGGAGTCAGTTCGTGCCCACTTTGCTGCGGAGCACCAAGGAGTCACCCCTACGGACGCTTGTAGACTTATAAGACAGCCCCAGCAGCACTGGTTTTGCTTTGTTTTGCTGTCTCCGAAAGTCGTCATGCCTCGTAGCGTACATCCATCTAAGATCGCACAAAGGTTTTGGCCGAAGGGTTCCATTGAACCGACGGCCACACTCATGTGAGGAAAAGCTGTTGGGAGTTGGAAAGACGAGCTTCTGACGAACATGTCCATGGTGGCTGTGCTAGATCAACAACAGAAATAAACATGTACGGATCTGTTCCAGCCCGATTCAAGTGCAATCAGGCATCTGCTCCACCCATAAGACTCCGTCTTCCCAAAAAGGATGCACCCAGCAGTCACCATCGGGCCCAGAGGCCCGCTGCCAGCCAGCACCAACCTGATGAGCTATTGCCCGCACAAATTTAATTTTATCTCGAGGCACACCCTGGAAAAAGCTCGGCTTCATATGCTTTGCGAGACACACGAAAGCGCTGGGTGAAATCGCTCGGTGTGCCAACCACCTGATGGGCAGGGGTGTTCCGTTGCAAGATATGCCGTAATGCACTTGAAGGAGGCCTCCATTTCCATTTCATCACCCCCTTGCGTGATCTTGCGACTGACGTAGCCTTCCACCACTGCATGGACGGGACGAGCCAGTTCAAGCACGACACACAACGTCAAAGCCTGCACCGTAGCTTATGGCAGAAGCCGCACAACCTCAGAAGCTCAGGCGCTACGCGGGCTAACTAGCAGCTAGTCGGGGACAGGATCAGATTATTAGGGCCTCTCCTGGTTGGAAAGATTTTTGAAGCTGATCTTTCAAGCAGGCTTGCTCAAATGTCTCATCATAATGTGTGACTTAGACTGAGCCCTCTGACACTTCTGTGCAAGCGGCGCTTTGCCCAACTGACTTCCAGAGACACCAGCAATGCGTCCATATCGCCATGAGTCTCGAAGCAGAACCACAACCCATTGAAGTTAGCCCTGCACCAACAAACACGGAAACATTTTCGCATGTTGCACTTCTCTTCTCATGCGGTGTCTTGCAAGGTGCTGTGCCTCCGCGGAGCGGCTTTTCGCAAAGAGCAGAATGCTGTCTTCTTTGAAGCCCATGGAGACTGCAATAGACAAAAGACACAGCTTACAGGCCATACTGGAAAAACAAACTTCTCAAAACGCTCACAGAAAGCACTCAAAAGCTGGTTGCTGCCATTGGTTTTAGCGTAAGACTATTTGCCTGGATTTAGGGAGTACCTGTCCATCTCTGGTCTTTGGAGACTTCGGAACCTTTTGTTTTGCTTGGTTGGCTTGACTTGGCTGGCTCTTTTTGGAGCTTGGTCTGGTCTTCACTGACTTATGTGACAATAAAATTCTGAAAATATCACTGGCCTCAAGTAGGGCCGTTTCGGGGTTCAAATATGCACACTTTGCGCGAGGCCTGATCCTCGAGCTGCTGCAACGGAAGGAATGAAGCCTATCACGTGCATGAGCACTCACATCCTTACGGAGAACTGCTGAGATGTTATCCACACGCTAAACTGATACTAGCTTTTTAGAAATGATCGTGCCTCCGGTCGGGCTACCTTCTGCTTTGGTCGCGGCTTGATTGAAGGACTAGCTGATTGTGGATATTGAACCTTATAGTGTCGCTCAGTAGCGAAGCTCACAGTCTCTCTGGCCCTATGAAGCGTCACAGTCTCTCTGGCCCTATGAAGTGCCGAATGTCTGGGTCACTGGCAACAGGGAGGCTATTGGATAACTCGCTGGCTGCCCATGGGTCCTGCAGCAAGATGCAGCATGCCTGAAAGGGCCAGAGACCGATACTGATACTTGCATCCAAACTGGTTGCATATCTGGATGATGTCCTGATCAGATTCAACATCCAGCTCATCTTCGGATGAGACAGCGCTGAATGTACAAGCGGTTCCCATGGCACGAGAGATGAAGCCACTTGCGGTTTCTATGCAACTGGATTTGTGGTTGAGAATTGGTCTGTAAGCAGGTTGCTGTGCACCGTTGACAGCCTGCATGGATTTCGTGGCTTCCGAGTGTGGAAATTTGCTGAAACATAAGAAGCCGATTCATCCGTGGCCTGGCTCCCCGGCTCCCTCCCTTTGGCCTTTGCTGCGCTCTGTGCTTCGTTGAGGAAGTCCAGCTCACCATCCAAAGCTCGCTCTAACCTGAAAAATGACAACAAGCTTAGGTGCAAGTGAACTGCACCTAGGCCGCACGCAGAAAAAGCCCCGGACTCACAGAAAACGGGGTAGTAGTCCACTGGAAGCCTGCTCACCGTGGGCCATGCGCTATGACAGCCTGCCCAGCCAGGAACCCCATAGGCTTACGATAGCTTACACGGCTTCAGTGGTTTTCCAGGCTCAACTGCGGCTAAACATCCCATCACCTCCATCACCTGCAACTGAAAAAATCGTCACCCAAGGCCAAGGCCATCAAAAACATCAAGGCAACTGACCAAAAAAAAACTTCTGACTGAAACGAAATCGTGTGTGGCTAAATTCTCCTCAATGCCTGTCAAACTGCCTCTTGCGTAGGAGGTGTACTAAATCACTTGCGACTAAAGACTTCGTCCAGGGAAAGCAATTGGGACTGGTCCTTGCAGGCTCACAATACCCAACTGTGGGTTTGCTATGTTTTTTTGGCTCTGGTGGTAATAAAGGGCTGCAAGGCTATAGGCCTTGGCGCTTGCGGGTTTATGGTTCGGCACTTCATGACTTCTGATTGAAGCTTTAGGGGTTCATGCTCTGAGGTTTGAAGGGCCTGGTGGTTTTGGTTTTGTTTCTTCTGACTGAGGGCTTGGAAATTTTATCGTGTTAGGGTTTGTGGGCTGATAGGAGCCTAAGGGCTATTAGGATGTTTAGGGATTTGGAGTTAGGGCTTTAAGGCTTGCAAGCTGTAGAGTTTTAGGTGTTGGGTTTGAAGGTGTTTCCTGTGGGTTGGGGCATAAGAGCTATCTGCCGACCTTTGGAACGTGCTGGATAGTCTGATAAGATGGAAGAGCGTGGAAACAACCTTGCTTTCTCGCTGAGTTTTCAGGGTTTAAGGGTTAATGGTGTGTGGGGACTGTTTGGCTGTACGTGTTTTGTCTGGTTTTGTGTGAGCTCTTTTTCCATCTGCAGGGGGTTTGGCTTTCTGGCTTCTAGTTGTACGCTGGGTTTTTGCAGTTTTAGACATTTGTTTAACGGCTTCAATCTAGTGGGGTTTGGGGCTTTCGGCATGCAGAGGGCTTTATTCAGGGCGTTCAAGGTGATTTGGGCTTCAAGCATTCCGTGTTTTGAGGTTTCAGGCTTTAGGGTGTAAGATTAAGAGTTGAGGACGGTTATGAGTCTTAAGGCTTTAAGGGCTTCTCCAAGCCTGTTTTCAGGAATCACAGTGCTTCATAGTTTGGGGCTTGCGGTTTTTCTGATTTTTAGTTCAGGTTTTGGGGCTCGGGGTTCTTTATGTTTAGCGGTCCTTTAGCGTTTAGAATTTGGGGTACTTTATGGTTAGAAGTTCTTTAGGCATTAGGGTTGGGGTTCTTTACGGTTGAGAGTTTGGGGTTCTTTAGGGTTTTGGTGTAGGGCTAGTTTACGGTTGTCTTTTGAATCCTTTGGATTTTCAGGCTTCGGGGTTCTTAAGGGTCAGGTTCTTGGGGGTTTGGTGTTTTTCGAGTTCAAAGCTTTACGGCTGCCATGCGCTTCCC